CGTTCATGGTGTGTGTTCACAGCTGCGTTCATGGTGTGTGTTCACAGCTGCGTTCATGGTGTGTGTTCACAGCTGCGTTCATCATGTGCATTCATAGATGTGTTCATGGTGTGTATTCACAGCTGTGTTCATGGTGCGTATTCACGGCTGTGTTCATGGTATGTGTTCACAGCTGCGTTCATGGTGTGTGTTCACAGCTGCGTTCATGGTATGTGTTCACAACTGCGTTCATGGTGTGTGTTCACAGCTGTGTTCATGGTGTGCATTCACGGCTGCATTCACGGCTGTGTTCATGGTGTGTGTTCATAGCACGTGTTCTCAGTGTGTGTTCACGGCTATGTTCATGGCATGCATTCACAACTGTGTTTATGGTATGCGTTCACGGCTATGTTCACGGCTGTGTTCATGGTGTGTGTTCACAGCTGCGTTCATGATGTGCATTCATAGATGTGTTCATGGTGTGTATTCACAGCTGTGTTCTTGGTGTGTATTCATGGCTGTGTTCATGGTATGTGTTCATAGCATGTGTTCTCAGCATGTGTTCATGGCTGTGTCCATGGTGTGTGTTCACAGCTGCGTTCACATGTGTGTTCACAGCTGCATTCACAGTGTGTGTTCACGGCTGCATTCATAGCTGCGTTCATGATATGTATTCACAGCTGTGTTCACGGTTTCCGTTCATGGCTGCATTCATGGCTGCGTTCATGGTGTGTATTCACAGCTGCGTTCATGGTGTGTATTCACAGCTGCGTTCATGGTGTGTGTTCACAGCATGTGTTCTCAGCGTGTGTTCATGGTGTTTGTTCTCAGCTTGCCCCTGAGCTGTGGGAGGAAGAGGAAATTCCCGGCCACACAGATTAGCAAGGCCACGTTTCCTCTTTCAGGATTACTTGCTGTCACCACAGCCTCCCTGAAGGCAGAAGAGCCAGTGGCGCCCACAACGTCCGACTCAGTAACGCCAGTGTGGCTAAGAGGGAGCATCCCTTTCTTCACTGCTATAGGAGTGACAGGGCAGGGCTCCTGGGAAGGGCTCGTGGCAGCTGCCATAAGAGGTGTCACCCTCACTTCTACCCCATGGACCCCCCCAATGGGCACATCCTGGTTTGGGGACATTCATGAGGCAGGACGCCACCACACACTGGTGCCTTCCAGCATCCCAGAAGGTGCCGGGAACCCACAGGGGCTGCTCCTTTGGAGAAACAGTCTACAGGGAGACCCCATGGAAGCCCACAGCTCCCTGCTACCTTGTCCCTTTGTCTGTAAAGTTAGTCCCTTGGTCAGAAATGGATTGGGGGCTTTGTGAGGAAGGAGCTAGGCCAGCAGAAGTGGTTCCCACGGCAGAAGCAAATCCAGATGACCAGAGCCGAGCGTGGTGAGGACAGAGTTCCGCTGCCCACGGAGGAAGATGTCCAAGTCAGCTATGAACAGCATGCAATGTGGGTCACCCAAAATGCTGCTGACAACAGGCATCCACCTGCGGGTGTCCGGGGTGGCTCAGAAGACCAAGTCCATGTGTGGGGTCCCACAGGCAGCTCCCCATGATGCCCCATGTCTGCCACTGGGCACTACCCAGTCCCTGGGAGGAGGCTGCCCACCTGCCAGGGGGCTCCGAGGGTCCAGTTACCCAGCCTGGGTTGGCCACCCAGCTGCAGACCCCAGCAGAAAAATAATGACTGCCACACTTGGTGCCTGCAGACAGGCTCAGTGTCCAGCTGGCCTGGGGGGAAGCCCAGTGCTGTGTCTCCTCACCAGGGAGGGTCTGGCTCTGTTACCACACTGGCTGTGACATCCCATCATGGCTAAGGCTTAGGCTCCATGGGCCACAACAGCCACGTGGCTCAGCCTGCCCACAGCACAGCCAGCACCTGGGGCACCTCTGCTCCCTACACCTCCTGGTCAAAGCTGGCAGCTTGTTGGGCACCTGGGCACACATCAAGGCACACACCCAAACCAGCCCAGGTTTCCTCCAAGAAGTGCTGTGCACAGATGGCCCATGAAGGAGACATGGCCAAGGGCTCAGTATCCCAGAGAGGAACTTCACAAGGAAGCACAGGCCTTCGTTTTCATGGATTTTACTTCTCACTCTCCCACATACAGTTGTGACCAAAGCAACCCTCACAGGTCAGTGTCCTACAGGCTGGAGAAACAGCCAAGGCCAGTATAGACTCTGTCATAGCTGAGAGCCACAGTCCTGTAATCCCAGTGCCAGGCCACACTACTGTCCCTCCTGGGTGATAGCAAACTGCCTTTCTGGTTTTCTGCACATTGACTTAAAAACAACAGCAACAAGAACAGGCATTCAATGGCTAAACACTTGCCAGGCCCGAGAAGCTGTATTGATGTACTCAGTTAAGAATGTCTGAGGCCGGTGGTGCCTGTGGCTCAAGGCGTAGGGTGCCAGCCCCATATGCCGGAGGTGGTGTGGTCAAACCCCCCCCAAAAAAGAATGTCAGAGGTCACAGTTGCAATCACGTCACCACCTGACTTCAAAACCCTCCTTTGGCCCAGGGATTGAAAAACTCTGGAATATGAAAGTAAAGGGGAGTCACTGAACCACTGTGTTACAAAGTCACCCCACTGGACAGCCCCAAAGTGCAAGTACCCCAATCCACGATTTCACATTCTGTGGTCTCAGCAACCTGTGGTCAGCTGTGGTAAATATAGCAAGACAGAGCACACCCACTGAGTGACACCAGGGGCCATGACAAGCTGCTCAGCACATGGAGGAGGGTCTCATGAGGAGCTGGGCCTAGGGACTGGGACGCACACATGGTGTAAGTCCAGTCTATGGGGGTCCCCACGAGGAGCTGGGCCTAGGGACTGGGACCCACCCGTGGTGTATGTCCAGTCTATGGAGGATCCCCATGAGGAGCTGGGCCTAGGGACTGGGACCCACCCGTGGTGTATGTCCAGTCTATGGAGGATCCCCACGAGGAGCTGGGCCTAGGGACTGGGACACACACATGGTGTAAGTCCAGTCTATGGAAACTAGGTCGATGGAAGCAGGTGGTCAATGTTTAGGGGTGGGCAACTATGGAGGTTCTACTGTATTTTGGAGGAGAGAGACCATACTTACATGACTTTTATTACAGTATACTTTTATATACACTTACATGACTTTTATTACAGTATATTGTCACAGTTGTTCCATTTTATTATTAATTATTGCTGTGCCCAATTGTTATCAACTAGTTGTTATCATCACCAACCTTTAGACTTCAGCGCAGGTACATGTATGTACTGTAGGAACATGCCATGATACATTCAGTGCTTGCCGTGGTTTCAGGCAGCCACTGGCACTGTGGAACCTGGCCGCCGCAGGTAAGGGGCCACTGCACTCG